AACCGCAAAACAAATATGATTGTTAAAATATGATAACATTTTTTATAACACTTTAATTTTTAATTATTTATAATTAATTTAAAAACAAATAATTAAAAAAACTGGTTTGGTTTTATATTTTTTGTTCACCCTGTATGTCTCCTATGTCTTCAGCTATATTTCTGATCAAAGAAGCCTATGACTTTAAAATTAAGTTGGCACTATTGAATTAGTTAGAAACGGCCAATTAGTGTCATATCGTCTGTCTTATGTTAGTTAATGTTGCCAACTTAAATTTGGTGGTAAATATGCAGTTTTTAGATCACGTGACCTGTCAATTTTAATATGAGACTAGTTTCTAATTTAAAATAAATTAATTTAAAACACTGATTAACAAAATTGTTACTAATTACTTGCAATATTGTAATAAAAAAAATTGTGTCAGTGTTACCAACTCATTTAGCCAAATTCTAGCCTACTTAAAAATAGAATGAAGTTTTGACAATGTTGTTTTTTAAATCGTAACTTTAAAACTATCACTTTTGTATTTATAATTGTCAAACAGTTTTACCAACATTGTATCAAAAAACTGACATTGAAATTTACTAATTATCTAAACGCCAAACATAAATTTAACGTAAAAAACACTGTTACCAACTGAGTCATGTTATGGCGTATTTAATTGACATAATTTTAATTGTTTTTGATGTTGCCAACAAAAAATTTGTTCTTTTTTTATCACGCACATTTTTAATTTTTTTTATATTGTTGGTTGTCGTTTAACAATAAGTAAATTTTCAATTATTATTTTTATAAACTGTGCTATATTGCCAACCAACATATCTTAAATTAAAATATCACTAATTTTTTCAATATTATTTAGAAGTAATAAATTTGTAGTTGGTAGTGTTGACAACAGTATGTAGAAAATGATCTTGGCCTACTCCGTTTAATAAAAAATTAACTCAATTTTTATTGTTTTTTAATGTTGCCACCTACAAATAAAAAAATATTTTTTTTACTACTGTGTTTTATTTTTTTTTAAAACGTTATTATTACTATTATTTGGTTCATTGCCTACTGGGTTTAATTAATACAATTTTGATTGTTTTAATGTTGGCAACTATAAATACAAAATTGCCATCTATAATTTCTATAATTTCTTATTTTTGTAACTTTTAGCCCCGCTTTCCCCTACATAGAAATCGATTAAAATTCTGACATTTTTTTCTTTTACTTTATTATTTTTTAAATTTAAGTTCTGATTATTAAGATATTAATTGTTGTTAGACAAACAAATAAATAAATATTAAATAAAACAA